ACCTGTACTGACCCAGCATTGAGCTCCAGTCAGTGCACTAGAGAGGTGAGCATGCACAGATTTTCTTCACCCATTCTCACACTCAGGCTCCTCTGGTAGCCTCTACAGCTTTTGCACAGCTTTCACAGTGCAAGGTGGTATTGCTCATCGCTTGTCTCTCAGATACACAAGTAACCTAGCAAACGCACACTATGCTTATCAGATATTCTCCTTGACTATTTTTAATTACTCAGGTGTTACTTCCTGCAACTGTTAATCTTCTATTTCATATTTTAGTGGGATTTTTTCTTTTTCTGGGATGGCCCAATCATGAAAAGATTTATAAAGAGGAGAACTTTCTTCTTTTAATTCTTGAAGAGCTCAGTTAGGCTCTTGAGGAGCTCACATTCTTGGGTAATTGTCTGAAACAGAACAAAGAGTGGAAGAAAGATTTTGAATTGTCTCTCTCCCTGCATTTTTTTGTCAGCCATACAGTAGACATTTTATTCAGAAAAGTATTGTAAGACATTTACTTCAGAAGCTCCTATAGGCCACAAAACACTTCTTGCAGTGGTGCAAGAAATGGGGCTTATCAAGGGACTTGTCAATTTTTAATGTCCTACATTTTTTTACTAAAATTTTGGAACTTATGAACTTCCTACAGAGAAAAGCAACCTCCCTTTTCCCCTTCCTTCTATCCCATCTTAATGTTACTTGTCAATCTTAACTGTCCATCCTATCCCCAAATGTGTAACAAAGGTGTCTGGTGTAACACCTGAAGATGAGTAAATGGTACGAATTAGGCATCTTGAGCTTCTAAGTAAAGAGCATTTTGAAAGAACAATTTGCAGTCAAGAAACAACAACCAGATTTCCTTTTAACTCTTGATATATTAAAAATAGTACAGTACTTGTACAGAAATTTTGAACTTCATGAATCACTTTAATGTCAAATACAATCAAAATAATTGTTGCTTCCACAAACATATTAAGTTTTGTTCTGGAGTGATTCTGATTCCAAAACTTGCACAGTAAAGCTGCTTTTGTCTCTTGCTGTTCTCGAAAGGAGGTTCAGTACAGAAACATGAGAACAGGGACTAAAGCCGAGGTGTTTCCTCTCTCAGATGACTATCCTAACCACCATACTACCAAGTGTCTATTTGTCTCCTACTGAGCAACTCCAGCTGCAGATTTGAATAACAGTATATTTAAGAATAGTCTATACTACTTCATTCATTTCTTATGTCCCAAATAAAATAAAATCTGATTCCTCTGGAAAAACAAAAAAAACCCCAAATATACTTGAGACCACAAAAATCCTGAGGGAAAAGTCATCATGCTGTTATCAAAAAACAACTGTGTGGGTGAGACATAGTTCTGCTTTTCCTCATTTTGGGTAGATGCATATTTTGTAATCATTGCTTCCATTTGAGACTCAAACAGCAGTGCAGTTTTGAATCTCATAATCTTCAGTCTCTTTTAGCATATTTTCATGAGTAACGTTTAACTGTAGATAGGTTTCAATTTTTCTGTACAGCTCATGGAAGTGATTTTTTGAGCAAACTGTGGACTTTTGCAGTTTGCTTAATGCTTTCTCATTGAAAGATCAATACTTGTTTTGCAAAACTGATTATAGTCTCTTTCCTACAACATAAAGCTGTGTTTAAGAGTTTCAAGTTGTTTTAATCTCCTGTACTCATAGTACGCTTTTTTTTTTTTCTTTTTCTGTCAGAGACAGACTACCTGTCCCAAACTGCTGCTCTTGTGATCTGTAGTTCTCAAGTGGAAGTGCATGGATATCAGAGCAAGTGAACAAGTGGCAGCAGTTTGTCCTTGAGAAAGACTTTGCTTTGAAATGTAGTGCTAATATTTTTGACTGCAAGTGCATACATTCTAGTTGCTTCATTTTTTGTAGTCTTCAGGAAAATGAGAAAGAGTTGGGGACAATCCTAAGAGTTTTTCTTGACATGTTATTGTCAGTTATTTTTGATAAAATGGTTAACGGTTATGGGGTGTGCTATGTTTTTTAAAGCTTTAGTCTCATATATTTATCCTGGATTATCTGTAAATGGTAATAAAATGCAGTAGATCTATAAGTAGATGTATAAGTTAGAAAAGACACCTCTACTATATAGCTTTTAAGTATACTTATTCAAGATTACTTAGAAATCAAGTATGAAATTTATTTCAGTTTCTATTAAGTACATTAGTTCATGTTATGTAAGTGTTATTATATGATTTGAGGTAAATGTGGCAATTTTTAAAAAATCTGAATTAGCATTGAAAAGTACTGTTTTCACAACCATGTAGACTTATATCTGCCATTTACTTGCATGTCACATGTACCCTGGCTGTCACTTCTCTATGTCTTAGCAAGCAGGTACCAGGTCTAGGGACCAGGTCTAATCATGAGAAAATACTGCAGTTTCCATCTATTCTGCCCTTGGCATCTCTACTAAAGATTGCCAGTAAATATAGTGATGTTTCTGTGATTCTTTAATAGGGGTTTTTATTTCCTTTTCAAGGACAAGCAAAAAAAATGAAGCGAAGAAAGCAGGACAAGTCTAAAATTATTCACGAGTTATTGCTCTGGACAAAAGGTTTCAATTGTCTTCTTTCAGCAAGCAGTGACAAATAATCTGGAACACATGGAGTTATTTTTTATCCCCTCTCGAGTTAAAACATTTTACTCTGACTTTAAATTTTATATGTTGTTGTGTTATGTACAAAAGACAGTTGACATTATTCACATTATCATTTTGTATGGAAAATGTCAGCCCACAGTGTATTACTGGATTTAGTTCTTCACAGTACATTAGCTTTTAATAAAGATCCTATAGAAACATTTTTAGATGAAAATTCGATGTAATCTAGCTATTGGTGACAGTTGGCTCAGTTTAAACAATATACACATTGTTGAGAATGTTTGTGTGTGATGGGCATATTACTGAGAAATTGTGATGAATCAGGAGATACTGTATCTGTGACATAGACCTGTGAGTGAAGAAAAAATTCCTAAATTGACTAAATAGCAAGGTTGTCTTTCCCCACTCTGGCTTTGGGCCTAAGACGTCTACTGGGATTCTCTGCCATATCTCCACACCTGCAGTCTTAATTTAGGAAGATTTTATATACTTAGCTGTAATTCCTGTTCTAATTTCAGTTAATTTCAACAGAAACTGTTGAGGAAATAACGTGGATCCTTTTCAGGGTCAAAAAGGGGGAATGGTGAAATAGAAGAATCATAGAATAGTTAGGGTTGGAAAAGACCTTAAGATCATCTAGTTCCAACCCCCTTGCAATGGGCAGGGACACATGTCACTAAACCATGTTGCCCAAGGCTCTGTCCAGCCTGGCTTTGAACACTGCCAGGGATGGAGCATTCACAATTTCCTTGGGCAACCTGTTCCAGTGCCTCACCACTCTGGCAGTAAAGAACTTCTTCCTCATATCTAACCTGAACTTCCCCTGTTTAAGTTTGAACCCGTTACCCCTTGTCCTACCACTACGGTCCCTAATGAAGAGTCCCTCCCCAGCATCCTTATAGGCCCCCTTCAGATATTGGAAGGCTACTATGAGGTCTCCACACAGCCTTCTCTTCCCCAGGCTGAATAACCCCATCTTCCTCAGCCTGTCTTTGTATGGGTGGTACTCCAGCCCCTTATCATCCTTGAGACTGATTTTATCTTTCAGTTATATTCTCTACTGGTATGATTCTGCTGGAAATGATTACAGCTAAATTTTTTTACAGTTTAAAAGCTTCATAGCAAAAAATCATAGCAATATTAAAATATCTCAGCGTTATGTTACTAAAAGTACAATGTATGTTGGAAAAAGGCTGTATTAAATCCTCTGTTATGGGTTATCACAATTTCTTACTTTTGATGTTGTTCCGAATTACATTACAACAACATCATTTCATGAAATCAAGACAGCTTTGACAGAATATCTGAAGAATATTTAGAGATAAAATAAAATACCAGTGTTTTTTATTACTAGACAGTGCTGCCTGAGATGATAACTAAATAATAATTAGTCACCTGGTAATATTTTTGTGAAGTGAGCTATTTCAGATTTTAGAAGTACTACATTTATGCCTGGGATCTAAAGTGAAATCCTAAGCAAAGTTTCCATTTTTATGCAGTTGGGTGTATTATTATGCACACTGCAAACATAACGATGATAAGTAACCCTTGTTACTGCCCCTAAATAAAGCATGCTCCAGTGCAAGAAGAAAGTTAGTTACTTTCTTTTCTAACACAGAAATAAATTGCTACCTTATAGGAGAACTGTGTTTACCTTGTCATTTTAGTACAGTTAATAAACCTAATATTTAATATTGGTTACAGACCAGTCAGTGACTTGTAAAACACACCCTATTAAACTGATGTAAGCAATAGGATTTTTGGAAAAATGTTACTGCATCTAATTTCAAAGTAAAAGTAAAGTAATTTGAAATGGAAATTAGGGTATTGAAGATGAATGCAATGACATGAGTCATTTATTTAACCTCTTTGCTGATGCATATTTTTTGTTACCTGTATAATCAAGGAAAAAAAAACCTCTCGTGAAATATGTGAGGGTTCTCTACACTGCTGAGATGACTCACAGCTTCATATGTAAACCTGACAGATTAGTTAGGAGACTGGCTAGTCTAATTACAGACTATAGTCTGGGATATTGCTTTAATTGAATTAGAATAATTGGACATTCTTTGAAGAGGAATGTCACAGTTGCATGATCATGCTAAAGCAAGATTTTTCTGTCTTAAGGAAATCCTAACTGAGGCCACTTACTCTCTGTTAATATTAAGAAAGACTTGTGATAAGAAAGTATTGGGAGTGCAGATACTCAATTTTTCATTTTTCTTTTTTCTTTTTAAAAATATTTTTGTGTGTCAGTTGCAACGTACTGAGAAGGGAGAAGAACTCAGGAAACTTTGGCTGTATATAGTAAGTTGTCCTGCTAGCAGTTCAGGTTCTTGTACTGATAGTTTTCTTTTCTTTAACTCTGTTCTTTAAGGCCTTATTCGATTACAAGAGCTCATCAAGGCTCCATCACGATACAACTTGAGACTAAAAATCCGTCAGTTACCAGCTGACACAAAAGATGCAAAGCCATTGCTAAAGGAGATGAAAAGAGGCAAGGAATTCCATGTAATCTTTGACTGCAGCCATGAAATGGCAGCAGGCATCTTGAAACAGGTAATCCTCATGTTGCTTTAGATGGCCTAATCTTTTTCATCCCTAATAAATAAAAATAATGGCATTTAACAAGCAGAGGAATTGTATGTCAGTTTACTGAGGCCTAACTGAAAATCAGTCGAGGATTTCAGAGATAATTTTTCTGGTGACACTAATGGTAGCTGCTTTCATTACGTGTTTTTAAAGAAAAAGATTAATTGGTTCATGTGCAGGGGAAAAGGTAAATCAGTCTTTCAACTACGAAAAACTGGTACTTTGGAGAAATGTTGCTTTAACCAGGATTTTAAATGTTTTCTTCTTTTTTTTTTTTTTTTTTTTTTAATTGAAGCCTCTATAATGTGGCTTTTAATCAGGTAGTGATATTTGAGTAGTGTGTTACCAACAGGCCATATTAATGGGTTCCGCTGAGAGGACGGAACTAATATATATCTTTTAGGAACATATTTACATATTTTCCTTGCACTACTAATTGTAGTGCACCTGTTGTTATGTTCAAGTAAGATGAGTAGGTGAAACTGGTATGCAAAGGATGTGGCTTGTAAAAAAGCTTACTGTAACCCCTGAAGTATGCATAGAAGACAAGCCTTTCTGTGTCTAATTTAAAAAGCTAGCTTCCAAGAATGGGAATTTCTTATGATTAGAGGCCATTTTCCCCATAGTTTTTTAATTGAACTATGTCTTGCAATAATGAGGAACCCAAAACAGTATCATACATTTATAATGCATAGCTTTTAGTGATATCATGTTTTTATTACGTTTACTAGCATTGTTTAAATCGAAAACAAAATGTGCTTAAGATTTGAAAATACGTCTCTCTTTAAAGGTACTTAGGGGTGCTAGTTTTAAATATTGTTGTGGGATTCTAAATGCACACGTATAGGCATCTGTTAGAAAAGTGTTGCAGTTTTTGTCAAAGTCCTGTCTAAAATACCATTAAATCTAATCTTCAGCTAATATTTGGAATTCATTTTAGCTTTTAACTTTTCTTTGGACAAGGACATATAGGCTAGTAACTTGATAATTTTTCAGACAATGTCAAAAGCAAAAAGGCTCCCAAAGCCTCTAGAACTCTGGTGATTCTTTTGTATACAAATTCTGGTATTGTGACAATTGTTTAATTAGTGCCTTCAGTATGTTTAAGGAGGTGTATCTGGTAGTGACTTAATAAAGAATTCCGTTGATAATTCCTGGAGAGGAAAAAAAAATATTGCTTACTTGTGTAGCTTTTTTACAGTGCTAAAATTGAGTAAAAATCACTGTAGATACTAAAATGATTGTATAAATCATATTAGTCTAAGGCAAATTCTGTGCAGAGCATAAAGGTATGTGGTTTTTAGGTGAACATGTCATTAACATGATGACACATCCATAGTTTATTGTTTTAAAATTGTAATTTTAAAATGTAAATATTCTTATGTTGTTGAGAGAAAAGTATGAACATTTAAAAATGCACAGTTAATCTAAATCTATGTGGTACTGCATAGTTAGCAAGACAGGTGAAGGTACTTGATAGATATCTGAGTTTATAGACTAATATTATGAAAATTTGTTCTTCATTTTTACTGAAGTATTATGTACCTTTGCTGTTAGAAACTTGACTCAAAAGTATTTTCTTCCATGGTTGGAAAAATGTCTACATGTATAATACCAGCTTGGGTCCTTCTTTAAATGCATAGTATTGTTCATCAAAATAAAAAAAATATTTCCTATTAGGTTAGGTTATTCTTTTTAAGGGAAGGATTCAATAATGAATGAAAATATTGTCAACTCAAATATTGTGTGGCAACTTAATGCATCCATTAGTATGTAAAACTATAAGCCTTTTTCACATTTACTGCACTAAACAGTCTAATAATATTGTTTCTATCAGAAGATCTGGTTCATAAATTCCTTTAATAGTAATCTGCTCTAACTGCTAGGAAATGACTTGCTTGACCTAATTGTAGTATAATTCCAACCCTATAGTCTTATCCCAGTAATATTCTTTTGCAGTTTTTCGTTTGCCATGTAAGTGTGATAAAAATGTATTATGTGACCTCAGAAACATTAATCTTTTGTTTATTTTTTCAAGGCTTTAGCTATGGGAATGATGACAGAATACTATCACTATATCTTTACCACACTGGTAAGTGGCTTATAAAAACATAGTGATGACATCTAACAAAGATGTTACTTTACTTAATTATATTACTTGACAAAGTGAAAAAGGTCTCTCTGGAATGGGGTGTAAGTACAAGATGTTTTCTCTGTTTCTTATGTTCAGTGAAAACTCATCAGGATGGTTTAATTATTGTTCAACAGTGTGCCCTGTTGTGCCTGGGAAACCTGTGTGCCCTGGGAAACTGATAGTCCTGAAAAAGCAACTGACTCTGTAGCACTGCAGTTTTTAACTTTCAAGCAGGGTTAAGTTTGTGATTCACAATTGATTATTTATGTTATGAATTTTGTACTTTTCTCTTTTAGGTATTTGTATGTGAAGATTTTAAACTTTTATATTGCATATTTTTAATCCAACATTTTACAAGGTAGCTCTTCACTGTCATCAAATTCCTGAATAATTTGGTGTGAATATTAGCAGCATTTTATTTAACAGTCTACATGAACTTTTCAGGCACATGAATTATGCAATATTCTTTGGTGTCCATTGTAAAAGTAACTAAGAAGGAACCATTCTTGGAATCATCAGATTTAACATTTGCAATAAATGAACATTTAAAATGAGAATGCTCTTACAAAACATAACAAACATGTATGTGAAGACCTTTTTTATTGCTCACCACAGCCTAACAAAGAAATAGTTTAAAAGTTGCTAAAATAGTACTTTAGAAACTACAGTTGTGCACATTTCTCTGTTTTCCATTCAGATTTGCCTGTTTAGATTACAGTTCATTAAGGTTCTTAAATTACAAGTCATTTAAAGCATGCGACAGATGTGCCTTGGTAAAACTGTGCTCGAAGTGACCTATGTTTAAAGTCACATACACGTTTAAGTCCTTATAGAAGTGAATCCTTTGTGATAGGATGGAAAGTTCATCTCAGAATCACAAAACAGAAGTTCATGGAAAGTATTAGCATGGAAATAGCTTGTTGAATAGAAATTTATTGCAAACTAATCTGTGAGGTTCATTTGAACTGTAAAGGCAAAATACCCTGCACAAGTACCTGTCTTATTTTAGAAGAGTAAGCTGTCTATCACTTACAGATCAAAGTGGATTCTAGATGATTCCAGGGGTTTTTTTATATTTTCACTTGTCATTTTTCTGCTGGTGAAAATAGCTTCTTTGAGTGGTATGCTGTCCACTGGCATTTAATTTTTACTCTAAATTCTATGTTTAAAAATCATAGGCTACTGTCATTCTTATTTCCTTATTAGAACATTAGCCTTTTTTTTGGAGAGACAAGTATTGACTTGGAGCTATGAAAAGATAATTTATTGTGCACAAATGGACGATAGATTTTGTTTTCACAATGTAGCTTTTGAACTCACATCAGACTTCAGCTGTCTGATTTATTAATTGCTTTTTATCTGACATGGTGAAAGTCTTGTCAAATAGACTTTTCTAGTCACAGGGTCTGCAGCAATCTTCTGTGTATTCTCATCTTGATTGATTCAGGGTCTAATGCAGTAGCTCAATAATACACTTAATACAGTAGCTTATAAATACACAAATGTGTCTATTTATAATATATGCATAACATTGTTGCATATATTTATCATATTCCAGTGTAAAAATTAATGTGTTTGGATTAAATAATTACATCTGAGGTTCTGACTTTTTTCACAGTAAAACCGGAGAATTTTTAGATGAAAAATATAACATAGTTCTAGTTATGTTCAATTTTTCCTTTCCAATAGAGTATTTTATTTCTTTGGAAAGGGTGTTTGAGTTAGGTTATTTGTAAATTAATAACTTAAAAGCATTTGGACACCTGCATATCTCAGGTATTATATATGGAAGATGATATCATAATTGCTAGCTGTAATTAAAACTGGCTGATATTTTTGTGAGCTTATCGATGTTAACAATGAATGATGAATTATATTCTGGCTTTCTGTAGTACAGTATTTAATCTTCTTCATCTCTAACCAATAAACAAAGTGGATTCACCTAACACTTCAATTCCATGGAAATTTATAATATGTTAAAGTACCAGCAAAAAATAAATTAGAAGATATTGAGATGAATGACTAAGTATGAATTATGTGGAAAATTCCTATGTTTAATTAAACTAAAATTATGTTAAAAGATAGTAATTTCTTACATATAACCTTGATAATGTCACTTTAAAAATTATTTAAAAGGAAACAGAAAGTTCATTTATAATGCATATAGCAAGGCCTAGTGACAGGTTTTTTTATCAACTTGATTTTGTTATTATTTCCCCATGTTGAAAACATGACCTTAGACCTGATATTCCTGAAGACAAGTACTGGTTCTACCTTGTTTCTAAGAATTCTGTCAAAGGATTAGGATAACCTCAACTTTACTTACTTGATCTAAAATTTGATTAATTTTACATATATTAATTTATATCTTCCTCTTTATGTGTTGGGGAATTATATATACACACAGGCATGTATGTATTGAAATACATTAATTGGCAAAGTTTATTCTTGCAAAGATAAATTCCTAGTTAAAGAAATGTCCATGTTTGGAAGTATGACTGATAGCTGTGAAAAATTCTTTTGGTTAAATTTAAAGCCAGATACCTTCCCCCTACTCCTTTCCCCTCCCCAGGCTATCATATAAAGATCAACATGTTCAAGTTTCATAGCAAGTGAAGGTGCAAGGAAAGTCTTGTTCTGGGTATTTTATGATTTGAAGTCTGTTACGGTAAGACAAAAAATTAGTAATTAATGATAGTATTTTTAGCAATTAATAATAATATTTTAGCTATTAAAGTGGTAGTGGATACAGTTCTGCAACTGGATTTAGCATTTCCTGAAAATTTTGTTTGGTTGGTTTGATTGGTTTTTTGGTTTTGTTGGTTTTTGGGGTTTGGTTTTTGTTCGGTTTTTTTTCCAACAAAAGGTAGTTGAAGCTGTTCTTCCTCTCTGAATCATATTACTCTCTCTCTATAGGTTCAGCTGAGTTCCTTGCACACAGTCACAGGCTCCACATAAACAAAGCATATTTCCTAGCATATATATATATATCATCTATCACTGTTACTCTGCAAGTTTCAGTGCCCCCATCTAGGGAGGTGGTCTAAAAATGGAAATGGGAATTGCAGTGTATTAAAGAACTTATATGATGGTCATTTTTTTCAGGACCTGTTTGCCTTGGATGTGGAACCCTATCGGTATAGTGGTGTTAATATGACTGGATTCAGAATTCTAAACACGGAAAATACCCAGGTGTCATCTATCATTGAAAAGTGGTCTATGGAGCGCTTGCAAGCACCTCCTAAGCCTGATTCAGGTTTGCTGGATGGATTTATGACGGTATGAATATCAGTGTTTAGTTACTTTCTTTGTATATGTTTTTGAAGCTAAAAAAACTTAAAATTTTATTTCTGTTACTAAAATTTTTTGGACGTATGAAACCAAATTTTATTGTAAACATGAGCAAGAGATAACCGTGGTGCTTTTGCTTATCTGTAGACTGAATACATGGTCATATTAACTTTCTTTCAAAATTACACTTACTGTATTTTCTCCAAGTGACAATACCATATTTTAAATATCTAATTCATCTAGTCACAATTACGTACATGCAAATAAACTTTCATTTCTAGGCTTTCAGTGAGTTTCTGCTTATTACTTGGAATTAAATCTAGAATTACAATGTCAGGAAGGGATGTATTTTAAAACATATCCTACATTAGGACCCCTTTCATTTTCAGATTTGTTGAAAGATCTGATTTCCACTTTGTCCCCAAGTGATTTGTAATATCTTTGCTGTCAGAGTTCCACTGTTCTTTGGATTTTTTTTTTCTATTTTTTTCTATTTTTTAGAAGTATTTTCGTGTTCCATTTGACAAATAGAAAGTTCTGTTTCTTGAAGTTACCTATCAGTTATCTATCTTGTCTGACTTGAGCCATATAACATGGACAGTCATTTGAACAATATTTTTCTACTTAGAAGTTTCAAAGATTTTATAGTCATCAGGTACTAAGTGACAATCGATATTTTAAGAAGTTAATTTCCTTTTAATTTTGTTTTTAGAAAACTACACTTTGTAGAGCAAAATACTTTTCTTATAATTACTTTTGTAAAGTGTCTTGCATTTTACAGTTCCAACATCCAGTACTTTAAAAGTTACATTGTTTATTTCTGTAAATAATTACAAATAAGCAAATGAACCTACCAAACTTTCAGATTTGTGTAACATATGCATCTGGTTTACATATTAGCTGCTGCTTAATATTTTAAGTCATTATTTCATGCTTCCTTGTTTGCATTAATATTTTTATTCTTTGATTTTTTACTTTTTTCAATTTAAAATTTTTAGCAGGTCATATCACTCATTGTAGTATGTTTTATGCAGTGATCGAAGATTTAATGGATTTAAAACCTTCAGATAGTTACCAAGATCAATAACAATAGTTACTTTATCAGAACATAGGGCCATGGTAAATAAAATCATAGAACAATAAATATTGGAAAACAGTTCTGTGGGCCAGTCACATTTATTTTATCTTTTTTGTTGCTGTAAAGAATATGCTGTTCTTGGAAGAGCTTCTAATGTGAGGCAGAAACCAGTTATTGCTAGCATATAAAGACCATACTTTACACCATTACTTCACCTCAGGGTAAGAAAAGACAAAGAAGTGCATGAAAAATACATGGGTTTCTGTTCTTGACCCTTAAGAGCCCTCTTTGTAAATCTAAGTGGAACCATCTATTCATGCAGCCTGTGATGGATATTTTACGGGGATTCTTTTTGTTGATAAAGCATCTAAATGCACTGTGATTACCTGAGTTTTAGGAACCTGAGATACACAGATAGATAGCATCTAAAGGCCTAATAATCTTGACAAGTGTTAAATGCTTGCAGAGCTTTTATAATTTGGTCATTAGATACAGAAAAAAACAGGTGTAAAAGGAAGTTATGTCATGACATAATTGCATAAAATTTTTCCTGTGCTCAGAATAAGTCATTTTATTGACCTATTAATTATAAAGTTAAATTTGTAAAATCTGACTTGTTTCACTGTTGTTCATGTGTATTTAGTCAGAAATGTGTTCAGGAATTAAAGATTCTACACAGATATTGATTGGTGTTACGGAATACTCTAACTGATATGGTCTGAACTGTGAACTTGTTTTATTTTTACTGCTTGATAATGACTACATCTTATTCAGAAAAATCTTAGCAATACACCTCTTAGCAGGAGTGCATTTTGCTTGAGCCACATAGCTAAATGGCACTGAATCAGGTACTAAAATTCCTGAAACTCAAGAATTTGACGAATAAAAACCCAAGGTTTGTATATCTCCGAGCATTTAGAGACCTCAGTAAAGATTAACTGGTTTCCAATGCTGTAAAACCAGGCAGTTATGCATCACACAGTTATAAGTTCTGGTGGTGTTTGTGTTATGCCCTCCTTCCTCTGACTTTTCCACTATATGCCTGACTTTCCCACTTAGCCATCATGACAGAGTTAGAACTATCAATTTAACTCTGACATCGCATTCCCTTATTTATGATTCATAGAGTTCCCAGTCATAATTCTTGTCTGAATTTGTCTTCCATAATCTTGTCTCTCTCTAGTTACTATGTAATTTTCCTTATAATTATCTGACCTTTAGTATCCCAATATGATAAAATGGGGGTATAAAATTTCATCGTGTTTCTTTGCAATGTTCCAAGTCAAATTTCCAAGTGTGGATCTTAAATTATGAAGACTGAATATTTCTGTGAAATACTAACAATATTGTCATCTGTGTGGTATTAACAGAAAGTTATTCTGGGAAACAGGAGTGACACACTATTTTCAAGAAACTTTACTTTGGTATATTTGACTTCTTCTTTTTGAGTCCATACAAGCAGCACACAGAAAGCAAAAAAATGTCGCAAACCCCTAAGCATAAATGCTCTCATACATTTATATACGACAACTGTGGTTCAGACCAAGCACCATAGAGCATTAATAAAGTGTTACGAGTTCAGATTTTTTTTTACGGTGCAACTATTAATCTTCCACAGTTTTCTGTGCCTGAAGTCAGAACTTAGTATGCATAATTAAGACGACCTAAGAAGCTCTGCTGCTTCATTAACTTGAAGTTGTCCTTACTAATTGTTTTTGCCTATCATCTGATTTAGCTATCTGCTTTCATCTTATATGAAAAAGAGTGTACTTTTTGTATTCTGACAATTAATTCTCTTGTTTAATGTTAACTTTAGTAGATGTATATGGCAGGTGCAGGGAAGCACTGTGTTATTTGATGAATGCTATACCTAAGGTCAGTATTACAGTGTTTTCCTCAGAAAAATCATAGGTTTGATCTGATATTTTTTGTAGGCTGCTGTCATGGTTTAAGCCTAAATGATTCTGTGACTCTATGACGATAGTTTTCTTAGGACATGCATTCTGAAATTCAGTTTAATGGTTTAATTATATCTGTTATGGTTTAAGCCCAGCTGGTAACTCAGAACCACGCAGCAGCTCACTCACTCCCCGCCCTTCTTCCACCCCAACTCCCAGAGGGACAGGGAGGAGAATTGAAAGAATATAACTCCCACGGGTTGAGATAAGAGCAGAGCAGTAACTAAGGTGGAATACAAAACCACTACTGCTACCACTATTAATAATAATGATCAGGGAAATAACAAGGGGAGAGAATATAATTGCTCTCCACCCACCAACCGATACCCAGCCCAACCCAAGCAGCAATCTGGGCCTCCTGAGTAACTCCCCCCAGGTTATATATACTGGGCATGACGTGCTGTGGTATGGAATACCCCTTTGGCCAGTTTGGGTCAGGTGTCCTGTCTCTGCTTCCTCCTGGCTTCCCATGCCCCTCCTCCCTGGCAGAGCATGAGACTGAGAAAGTCCTTGATTGGAGTAACCATTACTTAGCGACAACGAAAAACATTGGTGTGTTATCAGCGTTGTTCTCAGGCTAAAGTCGAAAATACAGCACTGCACCAGGTACTAAGGAGAAAAATGACTGCTACTGCTGAACTCAGGACAGCTGCCTAGCAGAATGGAGCATTATTTAGCTGTATGCTTTCTCTTTCTGCTCTTAAATTTCTTTTTCTGCCATTTCCCTCTTCCCCCCCACCTCATTTATTTTTTTTAAATTTCTCCTTTCTTTTCTAGACATAGTGTGCTTTTCAAACTTAGGTGCTCTGCACCATGAAACAGTATTTCTCAGCAAGTGAAATCTATTTTGTAATAAGAAATGAGAGTGATATTAAATACTGAGGGAAAAAATGCAGACATCTATTGCATACCCAGAATGGTTCATTCTTGTGTATAAGATTTTCATCTCATTAAAAGAAAAAAAAAAAAGATAAGATTTTATTAATAAAGTTTCAAAATTTTTAATAGCTGATGTATGGACTTCCTCAAATAAGGAGAATAGATCCAAGGATATTTTCTTTAAATACATAATTGTAATAAAGATGTAAAAATCATGAGGAAAAATGCTAATACCTTCATACATTGTCCTTAATTGAAAGAATATACAGATGCATTCACTCTGCAGAGCTGTCTAGGAAATTCATTTTGAAAATAGCCATTTTGAGGGATACAGTAAAAAAGCTGAAGTTATAATGGTTTTGGAGTTTGAGAATGGAAATGAAAGAGAGACTAGTGTTGGATTTGTAAATGTGTAGGTATTTTACCTTAAGGAGCTCTCCATATTTGCACGACTAAAGACTCAGGGAACACATTTATATATTCCTACTTTGCTCTCTTTTTCCCTTGACTAACTTTGCTAAGCAACCTCTTAATGTCCAAACCTTATGAATATACTGTGAAGCCTAGTTTATGTGAATGTTCACTTTCTTAGCTTTGTTATTTCAATTCAATACACTCAAAAGTTTTGTTGAATCCAATGGTAAGACAAGAATTGTTAAAAAAAACCCAAGAAGGATGAGTAGGGATGCACAACAGTGACATATTTTCAGTTGCATTAAATCTTTGTGTTTCAAAAATCCTAACACACTGTAATGAATCAGACCAATACATGAAGACCATATTAAATGGTCAACTGTAATCAGGTGAATCAGTCCAGGAATTACATTAAACTGATTTGGTTAAGCTAATGAAGCTGAAAATATACTTTATCCCATCATGGACAAGACTAGAAAAGATTAATAGGGTCAAGGAAGGCTTTGAAACCACGGCACTTGAAACTTAAGAGCTATGTGAAACATAAAAATGTAGAATTAAAAAAACTGGTGCAGTTTTTCTGTCATGATATAACCAAAGCTTAATGATGGAAACATACTCTATTAGCAATATTAGTACTTAGTATATTTAGTGCATTT